CCCATCTGCTCTAAACATAAAATGTGTTCATAATAATCCAGATTTATACCAAATGTATTTTTAAGTATTGCCGAATTGAGAGAGTACTCAAAATTTACGGCCTCTGAGGTTGCAAAGATGACTTCCTCTTTTTAAGGAAGAAAATGCTTAAAATGAACGTAAGAAAAGCTCAGAAAACTTCTTGGATATCAAATGGCTCCGTTAGAAAAAAAATGTCAGTGATATAAGAGTAAATGAATCAAAACCATATGGATCAAATTTTCCCTAAAATACACAGTTTGAAAAATTAAGGAGGAAAAGTGCTTGGCAAAATGTGTTTTAGGTTTTACCAAACCCAAAACATTTGAAGAATCATTTGCAATGGTTGATGAACCCTAAATGCAGCCAAGTTGGCCCATTTTTGTATACAAACTAACAGTAAAAAAAAAAAAAAGCTTTCTAGAAACCATGCAACCCCACTGATACCGTGTTTCACTCAAGAAATCATTAGAAGCTGTCACCAAAAACTGTGGCGATTATAGCCATGGGATGGGGGTGGAGCATGAAATGATAAAAGTTTGTTAAATTAATTGGCCTTGTTTTTTGGGTTTGGTTCTGTGTGTTCTGGACGTGGGGGAGCAGGAGGGTAGTATTTCTTGCAGAGCAAAGTTAATTGGAAGAACATGGGCCAAATGTTAATTAGTCTCATGTCTTAAGCATATGGTAGGATTTCCCTGGCGCTCTGTATTTCAAGTCAGCATTCCTTCTTCTCTCCTCCATGTGCAGCAAGGTGCTGGGAACGTGCCATCTGGGTCTGGAGGGAACATACATGGTCTCTATTTCCCTGTGTTCTTTCTCTCTGGCCCCCACACCAAGAGAACACAACCTTTCCAAAGAAGGCTGCTACTGCAGGGGAAAGCCCTCACTAGAGTGACTTGAATGGTCTTCTCAGAATCTGTTTGTCATTCAGTATGAGAAGGCCCATCTCCTACAAGAGTTATGTGGTTCAGACGAAATGCAATTCGGAGACAACAGAAAAGGTTGAGGTCATAGCCTATCCCCTCTGTCACCCATCCCTGGGACTCTTGTGTCAGATTACCCCGACAGATCCAGCCTCCGGGAGAATGTGGAGCCAACCCCTATATTTGGTGAAGCCTTTGGACGAGGCCCGCAGGAAAATCAGGGCGAATATCAGTGCCGGAGCCTATGGAAGACTCACTAGACCGTTACGCTTCTTCAGCAAGCAAAACGTGTCGTTTGTGTTTATACGAGAATTAGTAACAACTGGAAGAGAGAGATTTGGGGCTCTTAAGTCTGCCGGCAGTTCACCCTGCCATTTAGATGATTGCGTGGCAGTAGTCCCAGTTTTTCCACAAGAAAAATGGCCATATTCTTCAGATATAGTTACTGATTCCCTCAGAACAAGATAAACTTGAGGAAGGATATGCCCAAAGTTTCTAAAAGTCTTTGTCAATATTCTGATCTTTTGCCAAAATACATGTCAGTCTATTGCTGCTCAAATCTGACCAGCCAGACAGGTGTGATCTCCTACATCACTGTTTTACCCCTCTCATGAAGCTGAGACCCTCCCTGAGAAAAGCACTGAGGGCATTTAAAAGAAATACCCTTGGGCTGATGGCTCTGATTCCAAGCTTTAGAGGAATCTTGGCTTGAGGGAGCACATATGTCAGAGACTCCAGAAGATTACCAACTAAAAGACACACACACACACACAGAGAAGCAATTCTCATGAGATCCAAGTCTGAACGGCCAGCCCCACTAGAAAGAAAGTCGAATGCAATGCACACATTATTTTGAACATGTCAAAGAGCCTCCACTGAAAAGATCTACAATGAATTGACTGAAACAACTCAAAAGCCTCTAGATCCAATTCCATGTAAGTTAGTTGGTGGGGAAAGGCCAATGCTGAAATGTAAAGATAGAAAGCAACGTGGAAAGGTATATACACTATTATGTCAATTATATTTTTTTAGAAGGTGTAAGACCCAAGAGAGCTGGAAGGCAATATGTAAAAATACTAACAGAGGTTGCCCAGGGGAATTTCTTTTTTCTACTCTGAAGACACTTAAAAAAATTTTTTTCTATTTTCTATAATAACCATGCAGTTATTATATTATTATTAATAATAACCTTTATTATTGCGGGAAGTTAAAAGATTGATAGGAAAAGTGTGTAAAGCCAAAAAGCATGTAAACAGCATATTAGCAAAAAGAGTGTCACTTAACCTGAACCCAAAAGTTTTGAAAACTCATCTCTACTCGATGATTTTAAGATGTGATGAAAACCCCCTCCCTCTAGTTCTCAGAAAACCTGTTCCCTCTCTGCCCAACCACGTGCTCTCATGGGGGCGATCCTAGCCTATGAGCCAAGGGTCCCAGGTTCCAGCCCCAATTCTCTCTCTAGCGCCTGGTGGTCTGCAGCAGACCTCAAGCTCTCTGAGCCTTGGTTGACTCATCTGCATATTAGATGTCCAGAGAGAAGCAGAGGAAGTGGAGGAGGAAAGGAAGAGGAGAAATAGTAAGATCAGTTCCATTTGGAATATCATATGATCCAATCTATTAATAAGCCCTTCCATATAATCAGCAGTAAGACTGAAGGGCCTTTCTTTCTCTCTTCTTTAGTTAACAGGTAAACCAGGTTGTTCGAAGTGGGCTCTTATCTTCGAATTTTCTTTAGGATATTCCTAATAAAGCCAGACAATGAAAAGTAGGGTTGGTCCCCCCTTGCTTACATAGAGGCAGTCCTGAGAAGTGATAAACCCCAAGGCTCTAGAAAGTTCCAATTTCCAGTTCTCCTACTCTGTTGTTTTTTCAACATGTTTGGCGTGATTCTGGTGTACTCATCATCTTTTGTCCCCCGACTCTGCCTAAAGAAATAAGGAGGAACTTCATTATATTATCTGTCCCTTTTCTAACTCGCTGAGGATGCTACAAGTACTAAGACAATAGGGATTCCTAGTGGTGGTTTCAGGAGGAAACGTATGGTAGAAATGCAAAATATCCGGGATATGTACAGAGTAATAAGTAGGGACTTAACCTGATACGTAAGAGCATAATAAAGAAATACTGGAAGAGCTGCCTGTGGGATTTTCCATTGCTTGATACTGGAACAATTCCCACCCTACTGCCAACTCTGGAATCATAAAATCAAAGATGAACAGTTTCAAGATTAAGTGCCAGTGACTCCAACTATGTAATACTAACAGAACAGAATAGAATCAAATAGAATACACTTATTATAACATACAAGCTCATACGCTTACAAGAAACTAGGACTTTCACTTCGAGAATACAGATCCATGTCATTATTTCTGTTCTGATTAGACACAAAAGAAATGCCAAGGGAGTCCTGGGTCTCACCTTGCAGAAGCAGTATAGGGTTAGTTTACTTTTTATGAAAACTTTCAACCCAGTCATGTTCAAAAAAGCTCTGCTATGGCCCCAGACGACTGATGTTAAAAACCGCCGAGATAACTACTTCTGATGTTCCTTCTAAACTGTGGAAGAGGCTTATATGCTATAAATCTGGGCATTTTGAAGAGGAATCTACTAATATAAGTCCATGATTTTCATGCAAAATCACACTCACAAATGCCAGCACTTGGAAATTAAATTTATTAAAGTCCTGTAGGAAGACACGTTCATTGTTTTCATGTTGTTACTTTTCGGCCGAGGTTTAAAGCCACCTCTCATTTCTTATCCCAGGATGTGCTATAGGAATCTATGAAACTTAATTACATTGACTGTTACAAAAAAGGATTTATGAACTTTTGCCTTTAGGCAGAAATGTTTATTTCATTGCCTTTGCTATTCATTCTTTTCAACTCCGACGGCTTTGAACTTTTCAGCTGCGCAGAGTTATCACCGTTGTGCAGAGCCCAGGAACTGCACTCCCAAGACGCAAACCACAAGTGGAAGAAAACGAAGAAGGCAAAGATATAGGAGCCGTTATTCTGGCCACCCTTTGTGCCATTAAAATCTCATTTTCTGCCTATTAGAATGCCCTCTTGGTGCTTAGGCGGCGGTGATAGTCGGTGATTAGTGTGTAATTGAGTATAATTGTCTTTTCACTTTTCATTTCTGTCATTCTGAGCTTCTCTCTGTTTTTCTAGCCACCAAGAGAAAAAAGGGGGTTAAGGAAAGATAAAGCTGTTAAAACTCTCACTCTCGGCCCTGAAGAGATTCTCGATTGCAATTATAGATTGCAACCCCTTTGTGACATTTCTCCAAATTTAGTGGGCAACTATCCTTGCCACCTGGGCCAAGAGCTCTCTAATAAAATCAAGCGATCTGTATTTAAACAACTGCTAATAATGTCAACCTCAGACAGATGCCACATGGAGGAAATTTATCCAACCCTCTGACATGCAATTATCAAGGCAATTTATTAATATGATCTCTCAAGAAAAGCTCATAGTCCAATGCAAATTAGAAAAACAATTACAACATTCAAATATCTATATATTCCCAAAGTAGCAGTAATTCTCCTAATTTGTGCATTTATAACTCATTTATCCCAGAGTTCTGGAGTCATCAGCTGGTCTCTCTCCACACAACTTGCTTGCTTCCTCTCCAGTTGTTTTAATAAAGCTTTGGTGTTTTCCTATTAGGTGCTTTTGTTCACAACCAGATCAGCTGATCAAGTACTTTAAAAAAAAAAAAAAAAAAGAAACAAAAACAAAGAAACAAAAAATGTGTGTGAGCTTCTGACCCAAAACTCAGAACTAGGGGTGGAGCTGACCAATGCCTTGACAACGAGGTATAAACACAGATCTCCCTGATTACATTAAAAATCACTTGGATTGTAAACCCAAGCTACAACTTTTGATACAGCCCGTAGGAAGGGTGGAGAGAAAGGAAACCAGAAAACTGAAATCATGTGGCTTGTATAAAGAATACATTATGGTTTAAATTTGGCAATTCATTATATGACCGCCTCAGGGAATTGACTGTTTGGTTCTGGGATACAGCAAATCGTCTGTCTGGAAACACGGGACTGACCTGAGGTGAAAGGCCATTGCCAATGGCGGGGTTCATGGGGTTGGAGGGCCCAGATGGAGGCACAAAGCTGTCTGTATAGCTGGAAAATCCATGCCTGGTGCTGGGGAGGCAGTAGGCAGAGCTGCTGTCTGGGTTTGAAGGAATAGTGCTTTGGTGGACGGTGCTCGGAGGAAGCGGCTGAGGTCTGTGAACAGTGCTGCTGGGATCCGACACGGCTGCAATGAAGAAGATGGTCAGCTCTAACCCTCCTTGCAGGCCAGCAGGAAAAGCACAGGGCGAAAGTTCAAATCACCGAGCCACCAGGAGTATCTGGCGCTCAGACCAAACGTGAACTTCAAACTGCATTTCTTAACATGCATAGAGACCACTCATAGCAAATAGAGCCCCGTCTCTGCACCTAAGCTCAAGGACGCAACTTATTTATATACTTTCAGGGCATACTCACCCAGAACACGAATGCAGAAATCACATGAACAATGAGAACGAACCTATTTTTGGTAGTGAATGTTATGAATCAGCATAAGGAATTAGCCAGCATCAGAATCACAAGTCTCGCATTTCATATCAAATACACTTTCAAAGCACCTAAATATTCATGTGGAATGCCTGGAATGCTATCTTTCATAATCTCAAATAATTCAGTCTTCTCACTGATCCCATTCACCTCTCTGTGCCATCTAAGGGTGACTTGATCAGAGCGTACCTTTGCTCTATGACTACTGCAATTAGTAACTCTCATAGAACTTCAGTTAACTGCCGACGGCAGTGCAAAGGTAGAAGTAAAATTTTAACCAAGAAAAAGCAAATGGCATATTTATTTAGGAAAGGTGTTGGGTTTGGTTTCATCATTTTGTCTTGTTTTAAAATACTGAACCAGTATTATAACACAGCTCATCATCTAGAGAGATCCAACTATGTCACCGAACAAACTAGGTTTCCGAAATGGGGCAGGTAAACCTTCGGGATGACCTGATAGAAGGTCATTAATCCCCAAGCAGCAGCAACAATGTCAGCATCAAGGAAGATTTCCCAGCAGCAGAGAAAGCAAAGGGGAGTTATATTTTAACCCCTCGACTCCCTCCGTACCTTGCGGAATAGCTGTGGGCTGGTAAGATGTCTCCGACAGCTGGTATGTTGGCAGGGTCGGCATGGCGGGGGGAGGGAACCCCCCCGGAATGAGATGGTTGAAAGCCATGAGTTGATTGGCCCCAGCTTGCTTCCTCCATCTCGCACGGCGGTTGCTAAACCAAACCTATGGATTTAATTTAAAATTTGAGGATTTCACTGATGAAATAATAGTACACTCTTAATGAATTTTTCATGCTAAAACAGATTAAAGGCCCCCTTACTGACAGGGCAAATAGATGCAAGAGAATTCCACCTTCTGTGTTGTATTGTCAAGGGAGAGAGAAGCGTTCAATGTCAGGGGTCAGGAAAGGGGCTTCCTGGACCTTCCATGGTCCCGCAGAGCCCCCACGAACCCTGGGATGACCATGGGCAGGGATGGCTGAGCAGGAGTGGGAACCACAGGAACACCCCAAGGTCACCATCACCAACACCTAACCCCTGCCTTCATCTATCACAGCACTGTAGGGAGGGTGTATGGGCCTCCTTGACCCCTACATGACATAGGTCCTAATTGGGTCTTGCCTATCCCACTAACTTTGTATTTAATATTTGTATCCGGCTGTCTTTGCATTTCTAAGGTCATTATGGGCATAGCTTCTATATCATCATGTAAATTGACCAGGAGGAGAAATGGAGCCATTTTACCATCCCTTTCAAAGTTGAGACACTGCTCTGATCTTAACGGAAATAAATGCCAAAGAGGTATTTCAAGAAATGAAAGCATTTTATCTAAGAAGATCCCTTAATTAGTTTATTATTTCTTTCAACAACAGCTTGAAACACCTATAATAGTCTGTGCCAAGCACTATGATGACTAGGTACATTCAGAAAAAAATGGTATAATATAATAAAATGCCTTCAGAGGATTCAGAGCCCATTATTTTGGCAGGTAGCTGGGGAGAAATGGTGATAATGGGAGTAAGAAGTGTAACTAGACATCTAAAACGTTAAGGAACTGTGATATAAGGCTTTTAAAGGGCCCCATCATCTCGCCCAGTTTTTACATCTGCCGCTTAAATGTCGAACTTTGAAGGATTTGACAGAGCGCTTTTGTGACGTTTCTCCCAAAATTATAGCGTATTTCTACCAATTAAAGATATTCTAATTCCTCTATGGAGAGTTCACTGAAAACTCCATATGGATAAAGCATCGTGCTTGCAGTCAGAGGGGAAGAGGGATGAATGAAATGAGAGGGTAAGTCAGGACCCCTGCGCTCCAATAACTCTCAGGCTTATCCTCTGGAATTCACGGGGCCCTCAAGGAAACTGAAATAATGGTCACAAGAGGTAAGTGCTCCATATTTGGAAATGCAGAGAATCAGGGAAAATTCTGAGTGGAGAGAGAGTTTGAACTCATTTTAGAGTATGGACAAGATTTCAACAAAAGGCCACTCCAGATGGAGGTGATAATGCAGGAGACCAATATATCTAAGAAAAGGTAAGGCTTGATGTCCTTGTAGAACAAAATGAACAACAACTCAACTGCAATTTTTCTGAAGTCGTGGAAACTTTTAAAAGAGTGGAGGCAGGAACTTCTCCCTTTTGGAGCAAGAAAGCCCAGTTTAACAAATACTTTGCCAAGGCATCTGCCTAAACTTTTGCTATTCACCCAAGCACTTGTCTGAAAAGGAGCCTGGCCTTCTCCAAGCACACTGCATGATACTGGTAAGGAAAGCTTTTTGAACTTCCTCAAAATACTAACATTTAATACTCCTTAAGTTTCCAACAGGAAAAGAAGGTAAGTCAATATTTTCCCATGTTGATCCATAATTGAATTAGAGTTTTACTTAACTTAATAAATTGCCACCTGGGATAATAGAACCGTGAACAAGCCAGCCCTCCATTTCAGGTCTGCGTCCACTGTGTTTGCTCACTGCAAATGTGAGCGTCTGTTACCAGGACGCGCCAAAGTGTCTGGAACGAGCTGTTTTGGGCTGAGGAGGCGGAGGGTAAGAAATTGGGGCCATTTCCTTGCCTGAGTGTGCTGTGCTATACCACACACCGTGGTCATATTTTACATTAAAAACCTGGAGATTAATAAGTCACACCTGGCTCAAGTGAAGCATTTCCTGACACCGATCTCAACCAAACTATGTGCAGGGCATCTCGCCCTTTAGGCTGGGAAGAGCACTGAATTTCCCAAAGTTCTCATGTGATTTCACTCATTCAGACTTACTAGCCTGGATTCTACCAGTGAGCTCCTTTAGCAAGAACCTAGAGCTCGCACTTCCATCCCTAAAAGAGCACGCTGCCAATCTCTCTGGGCCAACTTCCTCCTGTAACCTTTAGATAAGTAAACCAGGTTTGATGGACCCAGTGGGTGTCTCTGCCTGATCACTCAGTCAATCTCAACCTACTGTGGATCCAAGATCCTTCTATCTCCTCCATAACCCAATTTTTTTTACATCAAACATGTCTTTGCTCAAGTAATAAATCAGAAGAAACATCATAACTTTCTACAGATAGCTTCAAATATCCAAAAGACTAGAGATGTAAGGTATTGGGGTTTTCTTTTCATTTTTCCAAAACGATCCAAAAACTGAAGACACTAAGTAAACCCACCAGCAGTTGTATTAGAAAGTTCTCATATTTACAGTTCTCTTATTAAAGTTCTATTGAAGTTCTCTTATTCCTACAATAAAAGTTGAAGAGAAATAATTGGGAAGCAAATCTTTACTAATAAAACAAACCTTCAACAAGAGGTTCGAGAGTCTGCCAGTGAAAGGAATTCAAATGATGTTTAAATTTAGGCTAAATAAATCCAGAGGGCTATTTATTCCTGAGAGAACCGGGGACTACTGAGGACTGAGGACTATCCTTCCTGTCGCTGGTCATTTAACCAGACTTTTTATCATCTTGCCCTTATCAGCCTTCTGCATCTCCTAAAACCAGCTGTGTCTGCCAAAAGTAGCATTAAAGATAGATAGATAGATACATACATACATACATACATACATACATATACTGAAGTTGCAAATCAGAAAGCGGTCCTTGCCTTCTTTATGATTTGAAACTCATAAAAGACATATCTGTTATTTTAAAAGGAAAAAGGTGCCCTTGAAATAACCTTCATTTTAAAGATCCAAACTGACCGGGCACAATGATCCTGGGATACTGCTATGATGCCATCTTTAACTGAAAGGCATTCCCTTTAGTATTCAGAGGTCTTAGATAACTCTTTCAATATTGTTTCACTAATTCCTAACAATCAATAAATAATCTACTAAGTGAACTGCCTGAGTGTGTAACACTGAAGAAGTTCATCTAAAGGAAGGCATTTATGACTCAGTTGTTACAATTACCAGAAACTTCTCTTTGTTTTGAAAAGAGCAGCAATGGCAACAGAAACAAACTGGCCTCTGATGTTCTAAAGGAGAATACGAGTGTTCTGCCAATGTCTCAGCCAGTAGGACAGAAAGAACAAGTTTTACAAAGTTGGCTGTCACCTGTTAAATGTAATTCCATAACCTGTAATTCAATGTCATCTCACCCTCCCCACATATGACCGGGCCTTGCACACCACAGCTAACGTGGTAAGGAAGTAGGGCAGGAGGCTACAGTTAAATGCTCATAAGTTGCCTGTATAATACCACACGACATCAAAACCCTCCCACAAAGCAAGTTTTTACTTCAGCTGATGAACTGCAACCTGGTGTCTTATCATCTGCCCCTGGATCTTTCCCTACTTGTCTATCTCTCTACAGAGCCCTTCCACAAAGCTATATTCATGCCTTTTGGAAACAATCTTCAGTTCCACGTCTGAAGTAATATAATATCCAATGAATTTTCAAAACAAAATTTCAATTGAAAGATCCTCATAACATCATGATAACTAGGGAAAAAAGATAATGACCCACAAAAAAAAAAAAGAACAAGGTTTTCATAATTTTTTATCTTCATGGGTCAAATAAGTAACCAATTTGTTCAGACTCTCAACAATATAAGTTGGGGAAAACTTCGTACTTCATTTTTTTTTTAAGGATTTATTTATTTGAGAGAGAGAGAATGCATGAATGGGGGGAGGGGCAGAGGAAAAGTGAGAGAGAATCTCAAGCCGACTCCCCGCTGAGCACGGAGCCGGACGTGGGGCTCAATCTCAGGACCCTGAGATCACGACCTGAGCTGAAACCAAGAATGGGACATTTAACCAAATGAGCCACTCTGGTGCCCCAAAAACTTTGTACTTTAAATGGTATAGTAATACTTTTTATTCACATAGGTGAAATGCAGACCAGGCAAAAGTTGACTCCCTGGCCTCCCACCTTGCTAACTCTGTGACCTTGAACAATTTGCTTACTACCTATGGGCCTCTGCTTTCTCATCTACTAAATGGGAGGAATACAAATCTACTTCACAAGATTGTTGTGACAATTAAATGAGACAATACAATCAAAGCCCTTGGAAGAATACCTAAGAGATATTAAGTGTTCAGCAATGTTAGCTATTGAGTATGAATGTCACATTGCTATCTCTGTCTTAGCCACCCAAGAATTAAAGCCTTGCTTTGTTTTCCTAGCTCTGTGGTCTACAGCCAAAGCCTTTTGTGCCCATGAGCAAACAGGAAAGTACCCAAATAACACCTCAAATAATTGAAAGCCAGTTTGGCTTGAATGGAGACTTAGGTCAAACTTGCTTCCAAGTTTCATGGATTATTGCTAATTATCCCATGGTTGTAAGCCTAATTTTGCCCATCGAGAAATTACTGGTTCACATTTTTGGTGTGGTCCCCAAAGGCAATCTAACCCACATTATTCCAGATGGGTTGTTTCAAATGCAATTTGAAAAACGAGGGGAGAATGAAATACTTAATGCTCAGAAAGAGAATTCACAACAAGATTTAAAATGCTTGATTAGTGGCACCTGGGTGGCTCGGTGGGTTGAGCAACCAGCTCTTGATTCAGGCTCAGGTCATGATCTCAGGGTCATGGGATGGAGCCCTGCGTCACGCTTCCCGCTCAGTGGGGAGTCTGCTTCCTCTCTCCCTCTGCCCCTCTCCCTGCTCATGCTCTCTCTCTCATTCACTCTCTCTCTCTCTCTAAAATAAATAAATAAATCTTTTAAAAAAATAAAATGCTTGATTAGACACTAGATTCAGTGATATCTAATGTGATGATGCCCAATGCCA